AGAGAACAGGATACAAAGAAAAGATTAGTCCAAAGGACTAATAATGGACCACAGCTACCACGGCCTCCACCAGACTGAGTCCAGTACAGCTAGATGATGCCCGTCTACCACCGACTGCTCTGACCAGGATCACAACAGAGGGTCCTGGACAGAGCTGGAGAAGGATGTAGAACGAAATTCTAACACACAAAAAAAGACCAGATTTACTGGCCTGACAGAGACTGGAGAAACCCTGAGAGTACAGCCCCTGGACATCCTTTTAGCTCAGTGGTGAAGTCACTCCTGAGGTTCACCGTTCAGCCGGGGACTGGACAGCCTTATAAAAACAAATGAGACTAATGAGGCACAGCAGTCCAGGGTCAAGGACTAGAAGGCAGGAGGGGACAGGAAAGCCGGTGATAGGGAACCCGAGGTTGAGAAAGGACAGTGTTGACATGTGAGGTTGTTAACCATTGTCAAAGGGCAATATGTGTACTGTTTAATGAGAAACTATTCTGTTCTGTAAACCTTCATCTAAAGTACAAAAAAAAGAACTATCTATGTGAGATCAAACTGACAACAGCAACTCAAAAGGTTTGATGGGAAGCCTAAGGGCAGTAAGTTGAAGATAATGGTGATGGAATAATTTGGAAAAGGAGAGTGAGAAAAGCAGCACAACTGGAAGAATGTAATCAATGTCAGTGAATTGTACAGGTAGAAATTTTTGAAATGGTGTATCTCTGGCTATGTATATTTTCACCAAAAAAGAAAAAAGGTCCTCCAAGGCCGAGAAGGGAGAGTGTTGACATGTTGTGGGGCTGTTAACCAGTGTCATAAAACAATATGCGTACTCACTGTGTAATGAGAAACTATTTGTTCTGTAAACCTCCACCGAAAGTACAATTAAAAAAAAAAAGAAAGAAAGCTGACTGGAAGTAGTTGGATGGGCAAAGTCCTGGACATTTGCTTGAAGAATTCCTGTCAGTATCTGTAGGTCTCTTCTCTTTGGCTGATCAATTTCCTAGGAGATGACTCCTATTCTGCTCTGGAAGTGTAAGCTTGGAAGGGGGCCAAGGGTCTCACTGCTCATTCCTTTATTTAATCGTATTTTAAATATGGTCCCTCACTTCTAAGAATACCCATATCCACAGCCTCCTTGGTTGAAAGGCTCCTATCTTCTGCAGGAGTGAGGGTTGAGGTGGGTGGCAGGATGGGAAAGTTTTAGAGATCTACTCCTTATATATACCTTCAACCAACTCTCCTGTTTTCAGTCTCATTGGGCACACCTCCTATCACAAATATCTGGCACTTTCAATTCCTGATCCTTTCCAGGGTTCTGCAGTGTGAAATGACTTGCTTCTTGTTGGTCTCCTGGGCCCCCTTCGCCATGGTCAGATTTCAGTCTCCACCCACCCAGCCCCACTAAATCCATCGTCCACCTTCCAAAATTTTGCTGCTGTGTGGTCTACCGTTATCTCCTTTCCTATTATATGTCCTTGTTGGTTTCTTTTTTAATTCCTATACTGTTATTTTAGTGCGCTTCAAGGAGGGAGTGAAGATGTAAATACATGAGTTCGATTTTTGTTTATTTGAAGTGTAGAGAGGCAAGGATCACAGAGAAGGTGAGGGACACTTCAAGCAAGGAAAATAGCCTGCATAAAGGCTTAGTATGAAGAGGAAACTCATGAGTCATGTGCAGCACAGCAAGCAGATTAGTTTTGCAGGAGCACAGTTCACACTGGGGAATGATGAAGAATGAGATTCTCAGGGTAGGGAGTGAGTAGCCAAATGGAAAGTCTGAAAGGCCAAGTTGAAAATTTATTCTTAGTAACATAATTAAAACGAAAACTCATTGCTGTCAATTCTGACTCATAGCAACCCTACTGGACAGAACAGAACTGCCCCACATGGTTTCCAAAGAGCAGCTGGTGGATTCAAACTGCCGACCTTTTGGTTAGCAGCCGAGCTCTTAACCACTGCACAACCAGGGCTCCAGTAACATAATTTTCATATCTTAAATACTGTGGCACTTAATCATTTCCAATATCTTTATCCACAGGAAAATTAGTGCTTTATAACTGTTTCACAGCTGGATTAACTGCAGCATAGAACTTAACTGACTTTTCCTAGGGCCACTGAGTAAGTGGCCAAGAGGGAATAACTATGGATTGTTGAAAAGGAGCAAAGAGGCCACGATGAGAGCTGTGTCCAAAGACGACCGCTGGAGTGCTGGGGTGGGTGTGCTGTATCGGGAGAGGCAGTGCCTTAACCATTAACTTAGGCATGCATCAGTAGTGCCGAGTCTCAGCTCTAGCCAAGAAGGCAACCTGATTGTTCCCTGAAAACCTAACGGAGCATTTGGGTTCCCATTACATTTTGCCTCCCTCCTTTCCCAGTGAGTTAAATGTGAGCATTAATGGTGCCCATCTGAGTGGAACCCTGGGCGTGGTGTGGTATCAAAGTGAGATTTGAGCTCAGGGACATAGATGTTCCTGCTCCTCAAATTCAGGCATGACGGGAACATCATAGCTGGTTTAAGAGTTTGTAAGAAAACCATTCCCCTCCTGTCTATGTGTTTATTGTGTATATGTTAGGCTGATGGTATAGCATTTGACTGTAACTTTCCCCTCCAACCAATTCATGCCCTACTTTCCCCCCATATCAGTACTTGGCTCCATTATCCATTTTGGCTCGAGCCAAAAAACCTAGGAGTCATCCTTGCTTTCTTCCCTTCCCTCCACCCCCAATGCCCGCTCTACCACCAAGTTCTGTAGGTTCTACCGCTGCTGGTTGTTTATTTGTTGTCTCTCACTCCCACACCCTCCTTTCCATACTCTGTACAGCTAGAGCGGGGAGCCTAAGAACTATTCTCCAGATTCCCTTGCCAGCTGTTGATTTCTGCCAGTGGGAGGCACTGGAAGATGAGAAGGTGGGAGAAAGGAAGCAGCAGTAGTTGCTTGCAGTTGCTGTCAGGGGTTAAGGGACTGCGGCCTCCAGCCATTCAAGACCTGGCCACAGCAGCACCTCTTCTGTGTCCAATACCGGCAATGCACACCATCTCCATTCTCCCTTTTGCTCCTTCAGCCCTTCAACACTTCTGCAACCAATTTCCTACATTAAATACCCTTTGTTAGAAATAACTAGCATGGTTTGACTTCTTGACTGGAGCTTGGCTGATATAAGTTCCAAAAGATTTCCCAAATCTGTCCACTGCTACTACCACCCTACCCCAAGCCACAATCATCTCTCACCTGGATGACTGCAATAGCTAGGCTCCCTGAGACCAAACCAGACAGGCCTAGAGCTAGACAGGGAGGTAGCCTGTAAGGCAGGCAGCATTAATGGGTGAGAGACCTGTCAAAAAATTTAATTCTGGAAGAAAAATGATTCCCCCTCTACTGCCAACCTTGGAGGATTAGGGTTTGATTTTATTTCACAGAGTTGGTTTACTTAAACTGTTGTTCACTTAATGCCCATTACTAGGCCAAGTCCCTTGTCTCTGCCGTGTGCTGAGTCAGCATTTTCTCTTTTATATTACAGAAGAGCAGGATAACCTGAAAACATTTTATTTATAAAATCTTTGCCAACTAACATTAAGAATGAAAGAGAATAATTCCATCCCCACCCAAAAAGAATGGCTTTTAAGCTTTCCTCCCAAACTGAGCTCCTTACGATCCCAGAAATTCCAATTCTTCTAACTCAAATCCCCACAGTGGTGAAGATGTGTAACTGCCAGGGGAAGGAAATCAGAGACAGGCAGAAGCCAGCACTGCCAGCAGTGCTCTCTGGCAGAGGGTAGCAGAAAGTGCATTGTCCCTGTGTCAAGCAGAGCCTCACAAGGAAGCCAGGTGAGCTGATATGATCTCTTGTTCTCGGCTGGGATAAGGGACCCAGCTTGGCCTTGAGACAGACTTGAGAGGTGTCTCAGCTGAAGGTTAATGTCTCTGCATTTCCAGCTTGGGAGGTAGAGTTGGATGGAGGGGTGAATGCTTTCTTGCCTTCAGCTAGAGCTTTAAAGTGCTGTAAGGAAAGAGAAGAGGGAACACTAAGTATTTGGGATGTGTTAGTTACTACATTTTAGCAAGAACTAACCTCTTCACAATGCTTTAAATGTTCATTTCCTCCCAATTCTACTTCTAAAACAATTCCTTGATGTTGTCTTTGAAAAGCAGCCAGAAATTTGCCCCACTTCCTTCAAATATAGTCCCCTTTTTTATTTCCTTCCTGCTTCCGTTCATTAGGCCACTTGGTTCTCCTCTAAGAATGAGTGTTTACTGTGTCCTTACCTCACCTCATCTAAGGCTCACGTCTCTTCTACTTTCTCCTTCCCATGAAAGCGCCACCCTGCCTCCTTTGCTGCTCTCTTAATTACAGGGCTATTCGGACAGAGACATCCTCTAATGCCAAAGAACGCAATCGCAGCAGGCTCAGAATAGTGGAGACTGCAGTGCTCCTCAGTACAGCTTAGGCCAATCCCTGATGCTAGTCTTACCTGTGAATTCTTGAATTCAGAGTAGAGGGTAAAGAGCAGGTGGAGGGACTGAATCCGACTCTTGTAGATAGGGATGTCTACGATGGCTGAAATGAAAAAGAACTCCCATAAATAGGACCAAACTAAAATATGGAAATTATGGGGCATTTCTGTTAAGGATAGCCAATTCCCTCCCTGGAAGAGAAACTGTTTTGTATGGATCTAACTATTTCATTCTATCATCCCAGATGGGATGAGTTCCTATGACTTTGGGGGTTATATACCCAGCAAAGATTAGTCATATAAGCCCAAACACCACCCCTAGGTGCTGCCAGACAGGAAAACTGGCTTAAAGTAAAGGCTGTACCTCAAGATGCTATCTTCTCACAGTAAACAAGCCTTTCAAAAGCCTGAAATGTATTTATCCAGAGACAGGGATGGGGGGTAGAGGGCTATGGGGGAGGGATAGAGGCGCTCACCACAGATCATGTCAATGTACTCTGCTAGGCTGCAATCAATCTCTGCAGTGGGAAGGCTCACCTGGAAGGAACAAGGGATGGACCAAAATCAAAAGGCTGAAGTTTCAGTGGACCCCAGCACCACTCTCTCTTTCTGAAAGAAAAGCACTCCTAGCATAGGACATGTTGTTTTTTCCTGATCAGTAAGGCAGAACTGGTCATATTCATTAACTGCTGAAGTAGCAGATGCTCTATCAGAACCAAAAGATTTTGTAAGTAAAATACATTGTCATGCTGTCTTCCTGTGTGGACTTGTGAAGAAGAAAATGGTCCCAGGTTATGGCCAAGTATTTACAGTTACTTGGTTACAATGCCTAATGGTACCAGGACACCATAGGAACAGAGAAAATGGACAGGACATATCACTCAGGGGACAGGCTCTGGACCTAAATTATCACATTGTAAGTTTAAAAACCATTGACTTCTTAACATTTTTTCTCCTTCTTTTTGCAGAAAACAGAAAACAGGAGTACGTATAGCTCTGCAATCTGCTTTCTTCATTTAACAACATGCCACTGACATTTCTCCATATCAGAGCATATTTCATTCTTCCAGAGGCCAAATAATATTCCATTGTGTAGTATTTCACTGAATGGATGTATTACAATCTATCTATTCAATCTTCTACTCCTAATCAGGTATGTGTCCTCAGTTATAGCTTTAAAATGATGTGAGAACAAAAAGAGACATCAGGATGACAGCACTAAACTCATACCTATCAATAATTACACTGAATGTAAATGGACTTAATGCACCAATAAAGAGACAGAGAGCGGCAGACTGGATAAAAAAGCATGATCCATCTATATGCTGTCTACAAGAGATGCACCTTAGAGTTAAAGACACAAACATGCTAAAACTCAAAGGACGGAAAAAATATATCAAGCAAACAACACTCAAAAAAGAGCAGGAGTGGCAATATTAATCTCTGACAAAACAGACTTTAAAGTAAAATCCACCACAAAGGATAAAGAAGGGCACTATATAATGATTAAAGAGTCAATACGCCAGGAGGACACAACTATAATAAATATTTACGCACCCAATGACAGGGCTCCAAAATACATAAAACAAACTCTATCAGCACTGAAAAGAGAGATAGA